GAAATTCAGCAGAGCCAACAAATGTTGGCTTCCTATAAACATCTCTTCCTAACTAATCCTCTTCTCTAATGATGAGAATATCTAGAAAAGGTAAGCACTTTTTCTCTTCCGTTTCCATTGTGAACTTAATGTTAATTTTACGCTGGTTGAGTGAAAGTTGGTAACTATCTATGAGGCCAGATTACAAAATAGTCATCCATATATCTAACAAATGATTTGGGTGTTAGTATTAGTTCTTGCAGGATGTGTTCCCCCAGTCTTGCCATATACTTGTTCGCCAAAATGTGAGCCAGGCAAGATCTCATCGTTAGTCCTTGTGTTTGTTCGTATAACTTACTAGCGAAGGTAAAATATGGGGTACTCATGGATAGGTTAATAAGTCTAATTATGGAAACTACACTTAATCTTATTCCTTGTGTTATCTCCAGAGTTTGTATTTGAGCTTGAATATCTCAGCTATATGCTTAAAAAACGTGAGATTTTAGGCATCACGCTTCCTTTATTATTTACAATTAATCTTAGAGGGACACCCTCCTTATGAACCTCAGAGAAACCCTAAGCAATGGGGGCCATTGCATCTCTCTGGAATAGTTAATTCATTTTTTACTTTTTCATTTCACCATTACTTCCGCATACCTTACGGGTATCCTTTATCATAGTCTTAAGCCTTTTTATTGAATCTCTCAATTAAGGCATATATGTGTCAGTGTCATTCAAATGAACTAGCCATGACTACCACTGCTTTACCTTTGTCGGCTTTCACAACGGTTAGATTATTACCACACAGATATCTAGAAACCTTACTAAGGGAATACATCCAGTTCAATATTATTCCTTACCTCATCGCGCAATCTATCAAATAAGCTAATTAATTCAACAAGTATTTCCAGAGAATGGTTTATCTTATTTGGAAGAATAAAATTAATTCCTCCTTCCATTAGACGTACTACACTATCCTCCAGATGTGTATTAGATAAATTGATTACCTTATTCTTCCCTATTTTACTACAACCATGGCTAGTACGATTTACCTTAGGCGCAAAGTTTCTCGACCTTATTGTAATTCCTAAATTCCCGAGCTTCCTATCATGTATACGAAGAGTAGTTCTGTCAGTCGATATCGGGTTCGCGACTTGGCCGGAGCGTCAGGAAGACCTTGTAGAAACTTACCTAGTCCTGTGTACTCTGTCATAGCATCGGACCATTGATTTGGTACATTCCCAAAAGTTTCGCCGGCAGCGTCAGTGAGAGGTGCCATCTTCAGCGCAAGTTGTAACTTATCAAAGTGAAATGTGAAGGCAATCCCATTGACCAATTTCCTGTTCAATTGATCTGGCATCACTCCTGTTCTTCCTTCTAGTCAAAACAAAGAATATGAGTGAGTAGTGATGCTACAACGGTTGAACGGATAATTGGTCAAGAGGCTTGCCTTCACTTTTAACTTTGATAAGTTACAACTCTGCGCTGGAGACGGCACCTCTCACTGACGCTGCCGGCGAAACTTTTGAGAATGTACCATTTCAATGGTCCGATGCTATGGCAGAGTACACAGGACTAGGTAAGTTTCTACAAGGTCTTCCTGACGCTCCGGTCAAGTCGCGAATCCGATGTTGAACCAATACTATAAAGTTAAAGGATACTGTGATCAAACAGAAAGCCACACCTTGGTCTTCATTTCTGCGATATATGCATAGCATTGGCTGAAAAATCAAGTGATAACGATTGTGCTGTTGGGAGTTTCTCGATACTTTTTTATTCCATGAGTTTAATGTATACATCTATTAGATACATTTTACTTTTAAGCTTTTTATAGCTAAGAGGAAAACATTTCAGAAACTTTCTACATCTAAACTAAAAAGAGATTTAACTTTTTGTCTAACCCGGCAAACTTCATGTAATTATGTTTTAACTATATACAGAAAAGTATTCTGCATGATCTTGTATTATATTTTTTTCATAATTTATTGGTAATTATTAGATCAAAAAGAAAAGCGAGTCTGTCCATGAGGATTCTCGTCGTAAAAATCGGGAGCTCCTGGAGCGCCACAATGCTGATTTGCGCCTGTTCGATTCCGAGTCCACTCGTTTGGGCATCAATACTGATGCTCTTCTCGGCGCCAACACTGTCAGCGAGCTGATTCCCCCTGGAGCTTCTCATCTTAATAACTTGGCACGTCACTTTTCTGCCATGCAGTCAGTTGTAATTGATACTTCAAGCACTAGTTCAAGTTGTGGTTCAACAGGAAGAGCCGCTCCGACAGCATCTGGTGAGACTAATTCTTCTGGCCGCCTTGTGTTTGCCAACCGGAACAGCATGATTGTGCTTAACGCTGGTAATACTGCCCATATGTCAGGCCATCACGTCTCTATGTCAGAATCCGATTCTCCTGGACAAAACCAGAGATAATGTTATTTTGCAGTGGCTCGTTCAAAGTATTTCTATTTCCTCAAATTGAATATTTCCTACCGACCCATAATACAGACAGGTATTTTTTCTTTTCTTCTAAGGTCATCTGTTTTTTCTTAGCCTTATAATTGCGATTTCTTAATCCTTAAAATGATTTATTAATATCTTGCGTCCAAGCATTCTTTCTTATTTATTTGAAATTTCCCTCTTACTTGGACCTGCTCACTATCATCTTTTTAACCTGATACAAAATCATGTATATACAAAAGCCTATGAGAATAGTCCTAGGCATCTTACGACTATGAATTAAATCTGATTTTGTCAGCCTCCATCTTTGAAAGATATTTGTTAGTAAATTTGTATTTCCAAGTTATTTAAACTATCATTGGATTTCTATACTTGCGTAAGTAGCCTTCAATTTTGAGTGCAAATGGCTGACGGGCATACGACTTTTCTTATATAAGCTACAATTCTAGGATAAATTCTTTCTCATATTGGTAATCTTCATTTTTTTTTCATTTCAGAACCCACGGGGATGAAAATGGCATGTCCTGACTTCCCTACTGTCATTGAATTTTCTTATTCCCTTATAACCTTTGTTCTTTGCTCACTTAACTTTCTATATGCCCTGCCTTGCTCACTAAATATTCTAACCTTCCGGGATTCTTCGTATTCTTTTATACTCATTATACCTATGGAGATCCCGAGTACTTAGAGCCCGGCTGTCTAATTGTATTTTATCTCGCCTTCTGTTCGGCTTAGTTATGATTGATATCTTTTTTTGATTTTCTTGTTTCTATCTATGAACGTTTAGTTCCGTTACCTTGGCCACTATCTCACATCTCAGCAATCCTCTGTTTTGTCTTCTATTTCGTTTATAACTTCACGAGTCTACTGTTTCATTAGTCTATGCAATTCTTCCTCATATGACCTTTGCTTATAACGTTCCTAGGCTTATATTCCAATGCCATGATCCTTATTCTACCTCATGTTTTTGTGCTGATACACAACTGCCTTCATACTTTTATATTGGACTCTTACTCTTTCACTACAATTGGGAATATTGATCATTATATTTGAAAACCGCACATGGCTTAACCTTTATTCATACTTGATTTGACTATATATATATATACTTTGCTAATTACACTGCAATCTACCTTTCAGTATTTGTTTGGAAATATGAAGCTGTTGGCTTCTATTCCAAATTGTTTCACTTCTGGATATCATATGATTCATTCCCTGCTCATAAAGACGTCGGGCTCTTTCAAAAGTTGTTATTTGTTCCTTTGGCTTTCACAATTTTCATTCGTCCATGGTTCTCAAAGATTATTTCATTGTTGCGAGGGTTCATTTGTTATACAAGTTAGCAATAACATCAGCCCGGTTTTAAAAATCTTGTTTTTTCTTCTATTTCATCTAACCACATCATTCCCATTTATTCCCACGATTTTCCTTCTCTAATTTTTGTGACATTCTCTTTCTTGAACTGTAATAGATAATCGTACTTGCCTCCTTAGCCCTGCAAAACTTCTAGCTTGTGAAAGTTTGATCATGTTTTTTCGAATTTGTAGTTTGGATTTGGGATCGAGGGTAGTATGTAATGCTTTCCTGTGACTTGCTGATCTATCTTTCCTCATGTTTGAATCTTCTCGCTTTTCATATATGACCAAATAG